AATTTATTTAAATTTATTGTGACTTTAACTGTTGTCACAATAGAAATATAAAAATCTAATATATACAGTGTACAATATGTATATGTATATATTATTGATTTTTGTATCTAATCATATTTTATGATATGATATGTCTGTTTGGAAGATGATTTTATGAGATAAATTAAATTGGTTTACTAATAAATTTTTGTTATATTTTGTTAAACTGAAAATATGAATGGTCCGTTCAACCACCAGTTGTAACGCATACAAAGCGTCATGAGAAATTTCAATTTCATTTAATTTAGACGAAATGCTATTGACTTTGTGAAAAGTATTTTGAGCATCTTTATTTTGTGGATGTCTACTGCAGTGTTTTTAAGAATATGATGAATGAAGTAAATTTACCGTACATGTATGTATTGAATTTCACAGGTTAATAAAATAAAATAAAATAGCTAATGTCATGGTAGCATCGCGCAAATATTAAATATTTTTAATTACGCATATGATTTAATCGCATGCGGTATATGTAAGAGAAATAAACAACAATGTAACCATTTTCATCATACTATCATGTATAATCGTCCAATGTTACCTTGCAATATACACATAATAAGAAAAATGTGAAGGCATAACATCACGCGTGTCCGGTAGACGCCGCACGTTTGAAAAGGTTTACGATGCTAATCGTGTTGCGCACTCATTTGGAATAATAGAATAGGAAAGGCAATCAAGAAGAAAGTGAACGTGAGTTGGTTTCAGCACACACAATGGGGAACAAAAAGGACTTGAGAATTCTCGAGAGAAGAGTATCGGGTGACTACATCGAATGCCAAGTCACCGAATATGGAAGGTGACATTACCGAGTCACTAAAAATAGAAGATGGAAATGGGGACCGTTTTTCGAGAAAGAGGGTTCGTACGACTCGAAAAAGAGGTGACCGCGATGTATGGTCTGCCTGAATGATGTCTTAATAAAGCGAATAAGATGAGAAATCATTCTAGGTATATACTTTGTGTATATCCATAAATTAAGCTGAGAACGGTAACCTCAATGATACATTACGCATGAGTGCAAAAAAAATAATCAGTAATGGACTCACATAAAAAGTTAATGGATAATGGTATATTATTATTATGCCTAACGGTAAATATTCGATATAACGTAAGGTAGGTAGGTATTATTCTATTTGCATCTCATTACGTATCGTCTGTGAGAGGAAAAAATGAAAAGCAGAAAAAAAAAGGAAGATGCAATCGAATGACAAATGCGTACACACAGGTACCTTGTATCAAGAAAGCAAACGAACAACCGTATAATTATAATGAAGGAGGATTGTCGTGTATGGTATAGTATGGTTAATATTAAATAATCAATAATCGCAATAACCTCGCATTCTGTTGGTCAAAAAAAAAGGGAAAAA